CACTGTTATAAAACAAGACTGACCTGGGGGTTGGGGGGGAAACTAATAAAAGGGGATAAATAATGTACATGGTATCGAAACAGATGAGGGAGAGAACTACATAAAAGGAATATATGATTAGGTATTATTGATATGATAAGAGTTCAGAATAACAGTTGCATAGTAAAGTGGTCTGAGGGGAAGGGGCTGAATAACAATTAAAGAGCTTTTTTCCCAAAGAAAAAACCAAACTGGGGCGAGGGGGCGGGGAGGGGGACAGGGAGGAAAATGTGCAACAATGAATGAATGGAAATCCAAGTTCTTTATAAACTTACAATAAAATCTCCAAAAAAGAGAAAAAAAACCAACAAAAACCTCAAGCAAGACCCACACTTCACACCATGCCAAATACAATTCTAAAAGCATTCACACTTTCTTTAATCACTACTGATAATATTATTCAAGAACGTCTTTGACCACATTTGTATAAAAATGTTGTTTGGTTTTCATAAGTATAATACTATCTGTTAAAATATTGGGTAAAAAGAAATATATAAAATCTGAAATGTCTTTATTTTCAGGTTATTTTCTTCCACTAGGCAATGCCACTGGTTGCCTACCTTGCTCATGTCATGAAACTGGTGCAGTTGATCCAATCTGTAATAACCTAACTGGTCAGTGTGTTTGCCAAGATGATTCAGTCTCCGGGCAAAATTGTGACCATTGCAAGGACCATTACTTTGGATTTGACCCTCAGACTGGAAGGTAAAGATTTATAAGAATTAGAACTTAAATATTATTTCTATAATCCAGTTAACTTTTCTTTGATGGTGATGTTTTGTCAGCCTTGAAACAGTCTCTTCTACTAAAGTGTTCTCTTAGTTTGCTGATGTTTTAAAAAATCTTTAATGTATGCATCTATAAAACATGATGTTAATATTTTAAAATTTTTCTTTGGACTTTGTAAAGCAAGCTGACACAAAAAGGGATAGAGGACATTTCTTGTTGTTATTACGTGCCATTAAGCCTCTTACAACTCATAATGACGCTATGTGCAATAGCTCTGAAGCCAGCCCTGTTCTGAGCCAGTGTCACTGACTCAGACACACCTACCTCCTTATCCCCAGTTACTGTATCAGGATATCTCATCTTGGGTCTTCCTCTTCAGTGTTGTCCCTCCACCCTTCCAACCATGATGTCCTTTTCCAAGGAATGCTCCCTCCAGGCCACATGCCCAAAGTATGTGAAATGGATCTTAAAAATCCTTGCCTCCAGTGAGAAACTTGGTTTCACTCTCTCTAAGAGAGATCTCTTTGTTCTCTTGGAAATCCATGGTATGCTCAATACTCTAGTAATCAACAGAGAATTTCTTTAAACCATTTTAAAAAGGAATGTTATACACAGAAAAGAGAGAATTTGCTTTTTTTTCTTTTATCAATGATGAACAGAAATAAAAATTCAAGATAAAATTATTTTCTGTCCAGCCATTTATAACCTAAATGTAGAGGACACGCTAGAAGGTATCTGTAGCAATGTGCATTATACAAGGGATAGGACAACTAACATACGTATATATACATTTGATTCTATATGATCTTGAAGTTTATTACTGTTTGTATCATTCATTTATATTCCTGGACTTTTTATTTCAATTTAAATAATGGCAGATAAAAAAAAAAGACACCAAAAACACCCATATCTTCATACTCAGTGATAAGAATCGTTTTCAGTGTTTAAGGTACATTTTGAAAGTAAATTTAATGCTTTTCAAAATAGGACTTTTCTATTTTTTTTCATGCAATCATTCACATACATTGTGTTTCATATATGTGTTTTGTGTTTTATACAATGATGCATATGTGTTGTGCTTCGTTTATGTACATTGTGTTGATATAATCATGAATATACATTATATTTTATATAATTGCCATTGATCTATGTCCATTATCATTTCATCTTTTCAAGTCCCTATAGAACCATTCCCATTCCTTCACTACCCTTCAACTCACCACCTTCCCCTGTTCCTGCCCTCCCTTCTTTCCTACCCCTTTCCCTTTTAAACATTTATACAAATCTTGCTCAGTTATTCTCATATTTTCACAATAGTGGTCTCATGCAGCATTCATCCTTACGTGACTGAGTTATTATACTCTGCATAATGCTCTCTAGCATCTCCTATATTATATACTACTTTACAAAAAGTGGTATAGCACCAGTCTGTCCATTGCTGTACAGAGGTAACTCATGGTTGCTGTGACGCTAAACACTGTGATGCAGATTTGCCAAATGTGATAATGGTTACCCATGGTGGACAGTATTTGGTGAAGCTTCCTGATCAAAACAAGCTTGGAAGCAGGAGTGGCATCTATTTCCGAATGGCTTGCCTCTGGAAACTCTGTGAACAGCGCTCAGGTCTTTCCTTCATAGGGTTGCTATGAGACATATATGACTTGATGGCACTTAACAACAACAGTTGTTCCCTAATACTGCAAAGTATTTAATTGTGTATATATACTATAACTTCTCAATCCACTTGTTTATTGATGGGCATTTGATCTGTTTTCATTTTCTTGTTATTGTAAATGACACTGTTATGAACAAAGTTGTACATATTGCCACTCTTGTCTCTGTTCTGATTTTCTTGGGATACCAATGGAATAACTAGGTCATATGAGATTTCTGTGTTCAGGTTTTTGAGGAAATTCCCAATTGTTTTCCATACTGATTGCAATATTTTGCAGTCCTATCAGCAGGGTATGAGAGTTCTAATCTCTCTGCAACCTCTCCAGGATTTATCATTTGCTGTGTTGTTGAACTTTGCTTGTGCAGCTGGGGTAAGATGGTGTATCATTATTGTTTTGATATTTATCTTTCTGACTGCTTGAGATTTCAAACATTTCCTCATGTGTTTCTTGGTCATTCAAGTACCCTCCTTTGTGACTAGTGTTTTCATGTCTTTTGGCAATTTTGTGATTGAGTTTTTATCTTTTCTTATGGAGGCCCAGTAGTAGTTTGTAAATATTAGTTATAATATCCTTGTCTGAAATGTCATTGTCAAATGTTTTCTCTCCAATATGTGAACTTTCTATTCACCCTTTTGGAGAACTTTTGGATGTAAACAGGAATTTGATTTTAAGAATGTTCCATTAAGTGTGCAATTTTGGCTATGTCTGCACACCTATTTATGCCACATGCAAGGGATTCCAAATTTGTTACCATTTTCATCTTTTATGATCTTTGATCTTGTATGATCTTTGGTCTCTTGTGATCTTTAAAGTTTTGAGTTTTACATCTAGGTCTCTGATCTATGTTGAGTTGTGGGTTTTTGTGTCTCTTATGATCTTTATGGTTTGGGAGTTTCCCCCAAATACCTTGGATTATAGTTTTTGGGATTTTTCTCAGGGTTTTTATTTGTGTGTGTGTTTTGTTGTGTTCTTTTGTTGTGTTTTTTTTTATTTTGGTTGTTGTTGTTTTGTATTATGTGAGATGTGGATTCTGTTTATGTTTTCTGCACGTAGATGCTAAATTTTGCCAGCACCATTTGTTAAAAAGACTGCCATTTCCTCAATTAATGGGGTTTGTTACATGTCAAATAGCAGTTGTCCATAGGTTGATGAGTTGATTTTTGGATTCTCAATTCTATTCCATTGATCGATATTATCTGCCGTTGTGTCAAAACTATGCTGTTTGAATTACTACAGTCATGTAGCAGGTTTTGATATCAGGTAGTGAGGTGACTCCTACTTCATTTTTCTTTTTCAGAAGAGTTTTATAGATGCAAAAATCCTTAAAAACATCCTGACCAATAGAATCCAACAGTATGTAAAAAAATAATTTATCATGACCAAAGAGGATTCATAAAAGGAATGCAATGATGGTTTAATCTAAGAAAAACAAGCGATGTAATATATCATGTTAATAAAGAAAGTAATAGACACCACATAATCCTATCAATTGATGCAGGGAGGAAAAAACACCCTGACAAAAATCCAACACCTCTTCCTGAATAAAACAATCAGCAATATAGGAATCAAGGTGAATCTCTTCAGCATAGTGAAAAGTATACACAGAAACACAAGAGTAAACATAATTCTCAATGGAGAGAGACTGAAGGCATTTCACTTGTGAAATCAAGCATGGCTTTCCACTATCACCACCCCCATTCAATATTGTATTGGACATTCTACCCAGGTCAATAAGAAAAGAGAAGGAAATAAGAGGCATCCAAATTGACAAAGAAGTGCTAAAAACCATACACAGATGACAAGATAGTGTACACAGAAAACCCCGAATACTAAAACGAAACAAAAATGCCAAAAAACATCCCTTGTTGAATTAGTAGACTAGTTTAGTAGAGTGGTAAAATATAAGATCAACATACATAAATCAATTGGTTTTCTCTACAGCAACAAAGAAAACATGGAAAAGGAAACATGAAAGCAATACCATTTATACTAGCCAACCACAACATGAAATATTTATGAATAAATTTAACTAGATTCACAAAATACTTTTATTAGGAAAATTACAAAATGCTACATAAGAAACAATCTGTGTTCCAACTGTATGGAGAAAACATGTCTGTTCATGGATAGGAAGACAGAACATTGTGAAAAATGACACTCCTACCAAAAGCAACCTACAAGTTCGAGGCAACTGCAATACATATACCAAATTCATTCTTCAAGGAGATAGAAAAAGCAGTTTCCACTTTCATTTGAAAAGTAAAGAGACTCAGAATTAACACTCTTAATTTATTTTCTACTTCTCACTTAATTTTGGTGGATATTCACCTTCATGAATATTTGCTTAATGCTAAATGTGTAAAGATGTGCTAGTAGGACAATGTCAGGTGATTTTTGTGTTTCCCCTTAAATCTGATACAAATTTGTCTAATGTTGAAACAATGATGTCAATTGGAAGACTAAGGTACACTTGATTCAGACCATGGTCTGAAAGCTATGCTATGAATAATGATTATAGAAGAAGAGTTGTCGTCTTTGAGCTGGGCTTCCAAAAGAACAAACAATATATCTTGGAGGGGTACAGCCAGTATGCACGTTGGAGGCAAGGATGACAAAGCTTCATCTCTCATACTTTGGACACGTTGCTAAAAGAGGCTGTTCTTTGGAGCCATCATGCTTGGAAAGGTGAAGGGTCAGCAAAAGAGAGGAAGACTCTTGGTAAGATGAACTGACGTAGTGACTTCAGCAATGGGCTCAAGTATGTCAGAGGGCATAGTGCTGGACAAGTTCACAGGATCACAATTAGTCATTCTACACTTGATGGCACAATACAACGAAAACAGCAGAGTTGAGACTATATCTTTGAAGTTATGCTATTCTAATTCTCAATCTATACCTGGACCAGCTGTGGTGTGAACAGAGCAGGGGAACACTGTATGGTTTAAAAATGAGAAAGGTGTGTGTCAGGGTTGTATTATCACTCTATACTTATTCGATCTGTAATTACCTTAATCTGGATTCTATGAAGAGGAGTGTGGCATCAGGATTGGAGGGGGACTCATCAACAACCTGCGTTATGCAGATGACACTATTTTGCTTGTTGAAAGTGAAGAGGACCTCAAGCACTTGCTGCTTTCAGTGTAGATTGCATCTCAATGTCAAGAAGACAAAGATTCTTACAACGAGACCTATAATGATGAATGGAGAGGACATTGAAACTGTCAACAGCTTCATCTTGCTTGAATTCACAATTAACACCCTTAGTCCTAGCAGTCAGAAAATAAGGAGACACATCACACT